AGAACCCATCAATTAGAACAGCATACGATAAATTACTTTTTTACTTAAGTACAAAAAACTTTTTTAAATTCTTCAGAAACTCTGTTTTCCCGCCGTCTTCTTTGTCCATTGCTTTCTCTATCAATTTCAATGATCAGCCTGCTGTTGATCCCTGAATTTGTAGCTAAGCTAATCTCTTTCCATATGATATTTTTAAAGAAAAAGTTGTAAATCTGTATTATCATTCATACTTTGATTAACAACATATGGGTCAGGGGCAATATTTTGCCATTTAATATTGCAATGCTTAGGTTCTTGGCAAAAAGGAAAAGAGAAAATTACAGGTGCGCTTTTGGAAATGGATGCTTGCAGTTGCAGCTGCGCTCATCAGAAAAGTCAACCCATTTTTTTCAACTTGATAAAAACTTGAGTTGAAAGCTAGCTAGATTGATTGTTGAGTTAACCGTGTCGTATACGCCTTGGGAAAAAAGAGCATTGGAAAATTGACAGACGAAAGTAATCAACATCAATAACTACATATTGTCTACATAAAATCTGAAGGCGGGAGATGGTATAAAAACCATCATATGGATTGCATTTTGCGAAAAGGAACCAGGAGCATTCCAATGTCATTAAGGTTATGCAACTTTTTTCATTTTGTAAGTATACGCTATATAATCATCTAAACAAGTTTTATCTTTATATCGAATAAACTATGAATGCAAGACAAAAATTACCTTTGTAAATTTAATTTTTTTTTATGATTTCAGTAATTATTTGCCAAGAAAGTAAGTTGCAGAATCATAGCAACATTGAAATGCTCTTGGTTCCTTTTTGAAAAATGTAATCCATATCTTAGTCAGTTTCTGCTTGTTTAAGCAAGTTTTAAATTTACTTTGTTAAAGAATATAGATTTGGTCATTAAAATTTCATCGAACGACTTGACAACGTTTCCTTCGAAACACGGACAAATGACGGCTAAAAGGCGTGCTGATAACCTGGCGCGTCTGCCGAACCAAGCCGGCGATCCTGCTCATCGCTCGACGACCTGTAACGAGTAATTTGGAAATACGGCAACGTTGTAGTATCTGACTAACAACTGTATTAATGACTCGGACAACGGCGAGTGACTCAACAAGAAAATTAATTATGAAATATGAGATTCGGGGAGGAATCTCTGCTGACCGCTGCGCCGCGCCGCGCGTGAGGTGGCAAACGGGCGGCGGCGAGGGAGTTTCCAACACATGGCAAGGACCAAGTGACGCACAGTCCTTGTCGATCGACCATCCTAATCATATCGACCATCATTTGAACGTATTTCTATCAAACGGAACTATGTGCATAATGACGTGAGCCCTGTTACGCTTGTATCCTTATGGGTCTCAGGGCTCATGTCTTAATGCACATAGTTCCGTTTGGCAGAAATACGTCCATTTGATCGTTCTGTTAAAAACAATACGTATCAGTGAGCCGAAGAGGTGGGATTATCTTCCATTGGAGATGTTGCATGTGTGAGAAATTTGCGATTTGACCGTTGATTTTCATGTAAAAGTTTAATTTATTATTTGTGTTTAGCAGCTGATAAACGCTCGGGTGACCAGCCGAAACGGCCTGCATATTCAGTTTATAATTTTTAGCCTTGTTTCTCATCGATTTAATTGTGTCTTTTTGTCATACTTACATACGTATATATACATGGTTTTCCGTACGGTCCACTGGTTCTGGCATATCAAATGTTTGTCAATACATTAGATAAACTAGAGGCTCGCTTCTCTTGGGAATTTTACTTGGCTTATGCTCAGACCCACCCCCAGACATCAGCAGTATCAGCAATCCTTGTTCTTCAAAGAATTTCATCAAATCCTGGAGAAGGCCTACAATGAAGTCTGGAATGATGCCATCCGACTGTCTAAATCAATGGAACCACTGCTAGGGGGAGTTTCTCTTCAACTCTTTATTCGGACGCCAATGACCATGACTTTCAACAAGAAAGTTTTGAAGGGACTATCAGGAAAATGTCCGGCACTCCAACCCTATGCTGAACAAATCATGAATATTTCGTAAGAGTATTTAGCTGACCGCGCGGTGCAGGGGATTCCATACTAGATAGTGCAGATTAGGCAGGAGAAGCTGCATAACTATCCTATTGTAGACGTGGAGGCTGGATTGCGTGAAATGTCCAAGTACGGCACGCCCTACCGCCCCCTAGCTCCGGGGGCTGACTCTGATATAGCAAGTAACTTTAAACGAGAGTTCTTCGTCGCGTAGTATAATGAACACAAGGAGTTGTCACCCACCTTCAAGTATGTAAATGTTGACCCAGAAATCAGAAGACTACTAAACCGAAGGAATCCTGGCTCCATCCGAGAGTGTTACAAAATCCCTAACAGTGCCGGGGACTAACTGATCTTCAAGAAGCGTTTTAATTTTGACTACTGCCCTCAGATCTCTGATTCGTTGGATGACAAAACCATTACACCAGATTGAATCATATATACCAGGTATTCGCAGAAGATGCTTTGAGAGTCGAAACCTAATCTGTTGCAACAGACTAGGTTAATATTGGAGATACTATCCAGTCCGGAGATCAAGGTTAAGGATTATTACAGAGAAGTCGAGCGCACTGGAAGGTCACCTGTACTGTGGGCCGTCATCCAGCTTATGGCTAAGGAGAGAGAGCTGAAGATAGATCCCCGTGTTTTCTCCATCCATACCGTTGAGTGCAGGATGATGGCGTCCGCTTGTGAGCGAAATATCAGCTCAAACATCCTCCGACTGCTCAAACAACAATCCATTACTTAATCTGGAGCGGAGTATAGATCCCCGTGTTTTCTCGATCCTGACCTTTGAGTGCAGGATGATGGCGTCCGCATGTGAGCGAAATATCAGCTCAAACATCCTCCGACTGCTCAAACAACATCCCATTACTTAATCAGGAGCGGAGTATAGATCCCCGTGTTTTCTCGATCCTGACCTTTGAGTGCAGCATGGTGGCCTCTGCTTGTGAGCGAAATATCAGCTCAAACATCCTCCGACTGCTCAAACAACAATCCATTACTTAATCAGGAGCGGAGTATAGATCCCCGTGTTTTCTCGATCCTGACCTTTGAGTGCAGCATGATGGCCTCTGCTTGTGAGCGAAATATCAGCTCAAACATCCTCCGACTGCTCAAACAACAATCCATTACTTAATCTGGAGTGGAGTATAGATCCCCGTGTTTTCTCGATCCTGACCTTTGAGTGCAGGATGATGGCGTCCGCATGTGAGCGAAATATCAGTTCAAACATCCTCCGAATGCTCAAACAACAATCCTATACTTAATCAGGAGCGGAGTTGTGGCAAAAAATGGATAGCTTAATCACTCTTCCCGAAACAGATGAATACCTGTGGGTACTTCCACATGCACCCAGAGCAGTGGAATAATATGTTCCGCTCTCAGCAACAAGCTCCACCTGCGTTACCATCACTTGCTACGTCGCTGCCACCCGCCGATTTCTTCCCCAGGTGGAGGACGATGTCAGGACGACGACAGTCAGTGGAAAAGAACGTATACTGAAACCTCAATCGAGAGGAGGAAGAAGCCTTCAACGCCGGTATGACAATGTGGAGAAGACGAAACTCGACGTGGAGGCTCTAAAACTTGAGAGAGAGAGGCGCAAATCGTCAAGGAAAAGTTTAAAGAGACTCGCGCGGACTCAGGAAGGCGCCACTATCATCGAAGTGTAAATGAGTTGATGAGTAAATTATTAAGAAGAAGATAGGTAAATACCCGGGGGATTTTTTGACCCGCGTCTGTATTAACATTGGGCAAAAAAGAAATGCACTACCATGATACGCATTGTTAGCAGGGGCGGACTGACCATGGGAGCGGGGAGGCGACTCAGGAAGGCGCCACTATCATCGAAGTGTAAATGAGTTGATGAGTAAATTATTAAGAAGAAGATTAGGTAAATACCCGGGGGATTTTTTGACCCGCGTCTGTATTAACATTGGGCAAAAAAGAAATGCACTACCATGATACGCATTGTTAGCAGGGGCGGACTGACCATGGGAGCGGGGAGGCGATCGCCTCCGAACAATTTGCCGCGGAGGTCTCGAAGGCCCCCGCGGCGAATTTTTTTCGAGTTGTGGTTTCTCCCCGTAATGTTGTGATTTTTTCACCCTTTTCAGTCACTAAAAGGCCCCAAAATCCTTGAAAAGTCTCTAAGAGACATGAAAGATTGCGAAATGCTTATGTGATGAAGGGGCCCCCGAAGAATCCTGAGGATTGGTTATTATGGAGTTCAAATACTGTAGAATTTGACTCCAATAACGCTTAAAATTGGGTTTAAACAGTGTGAAATTTTCCGGGGGAGGGCCCCCGCACCTCCTTAGAGAGACCCCCGAATCTAGGTCGCCTCCTAACTTTTCGATTACCAGTCCGCCCCTGAATGTTAGTTTGAATCCCTCAAATAATAACTTCAATTTTTACAGTGAAAATGAATAATTTTGATTACGAAAACATTAGGTAAGTTTCCACTTTAAGACGTTGCCGAGGTGAGGCGATTGGGTGCCAGGCAGGCGCGGACGTAAACGTATGTGGAGTGATTTGTCGAGTGTCGACCTATCATCGCCAGCTCCAACTCGAGAGAGAAACCCAGGTGTCGGGCTGCCTTCCATCATCCCGTCATCGGCCGCGCTGTCTTGACGGCCCCCGTTGAGATCGGACGTTCCCATGGTGCAATAACCGCCTATCTCCCGTATGAAACCCGATGGAGATACACGATTTTGCTGGAAATTGGGCTCCGGCATCGACCATATCTCGCTTGTGGCGCGGGCTCTCATCGCCACCGAAAGTTGCCGGTCGGAACACTGTAAATATGAGCCCTGGAAAAAAAAAACGCATTGGATCTGGAGTCCAGCTGACCCTTGAAAACATTGACAAGAAAAAACACTCTTGATTCAATCGATTTTTGCTTAGGTCAAAAGGAAATCCGCTCGAATTAAGAGGCTTAGTTCTTGATTTAAGCTTAAATCTGATTGAATCAAGAGTATTTTTTCTTGACAATGTTTTCAAGAGTCTGGACTCTAGATCCAATGTGTTTATTTTTCCAGTGAGGGGTATGGATTCGATCGACATATATATGAATCGATCGAGAGCAAAAAACGTGAATCCATCGACGCACTGGAAAAAAAAAACACATTGGAATAGAGTCCAGACTCTTGAAAACATTGACAAGAAAAAAGTCTATTGATTCAATCAGATTTTTGTTTAGATCAAAAGGAAATCCGCTCAAATTAAGAGGCTGGGTTCTTGATTTAAGCAAAAATCCGATTGAATCAAGAGTATTTTTTCTTGTCGATGTTTTCAAGAGTCTGGGCTCTAGATCCAATGTGATTTTTTTCCAGTGCGTAAACCAATCGGCACGGACTCGATCGACGAATGGGTCACTTGCGCTGGTCACAAAATCGTGTTTTGGTGTTTTATTCTTGCCGATCAACTAAAAATAATAAAATCCGTCCAAACAGCAACTTGCTACGTTGAATATTAACCGATATATATCGCCTGGAAAAACTCGACTCATGACGTTACAGTAGTACTTACCATGTTACGGACTACCGCGGTGGATGACGTCAAAAACCCGACTTTTCAAAGGACGATATCTCGAAAAATATTCACCGTAAAAAGTTACCGTTTGGACAAATCTTATAATTTTGAGCTAATCCACAGGGAAAAACATCAAAACACGATTCTGTTACCAGCGCAACTGGCCGATTACGAAAAAACGAATCTATTGACACGAATCAATCGATCGAAAAGTAAACACGTGAACCGATCGACAAACCCGTGAATCGATCGGAAAACCTGGGAGTTGATTAGTCGACAACCCGATACATCGATCGGCAAATTTATAAATCGGTACATTACGAATTACGCATAAAAAAATACCCAGTGATCGGAGATGACCGAAATATACGATAGTCACTAAGATAGGTACTGAAAGGTAAAAGACTAGAGGCAAAAAAAATAAATGATGAAGAAAGGCAGAACGCCTCAATTGAAGGCAGTTTTCCTCCCTTTCCAGAGATTCCTGGAACCAGTGGTACTAACCAATTGAAGGCGGTTTTCCTCTATTTCCAGAGAATCCTGGAACCAGTGGTGCTAAAATACAGTAAATGCCATCCAGGTTGGCCCAGTGGTCGGCACGTCTGCTTCTGGGTCGGTAGGTCCTGGTTTCGAATCCCAATAATGGCGACAAATTTTCAGGAACTGATAGGTGAGTGGGTCTTTTGAAACAGAATCTACCTTGGCTTGAATCCGTGAAAATGTGAAAGGCCTTGAGCATGGATGTGCCTGTCGTCCTGACATCTGAGGACACTAAATAAACTTTTTGGCTTACGGATTACAGAATATATGAGACAAATAACCAGCCAAAATAAATTAAGTATGAACAACACACAAAAATTTGAGTCTGAAAACCCACCGCACTGGAAAAAAAACATTGGATTTAGAGTCCAGACTCTTGGAAACATTGACAAGAAAAAATACTCTTGATTCAATTGGATATTTGCTTGAATCAAAACGAAATCCGCTTAAATTAAGAGGCTTGGTTCTTGATTTAAGCTAGATTCTGATTGAATCAAGCGTACTTTTCTTGTCGATGTTTTTAAGAGTCTGGACTCTAGATCCAATGTGTTTCTATCCCAGTGCGGTCAAAATGCAAAGTGCTGACAACAACGCAAGGGAGAACCCCCCACCGAAATCCGTATTCCCAGTTCGACTGATGGCCAACCTCTCGCCTGCGATTTGTTTCATTCTCAGCGTCGTCTCATTTGTCAATAAACGCCTTTCCTGCTCTTTGCTATGACGAAAATTGATTTATCTTCCAACACACTATTGAAACATCGCTTGTGCATATATTTGTAAATACACTCTCACACGAGCATGTCTTCCACGCGAATGAGGGTGTATAATTCATACTCAAGGACGGATTTCTGACGTATTCGCGTGAATTCCGACTGGGATGGGCGTTCGCGAACATCTGTTCGGCAGTGGCGTGACGAGAATGGCGATATATCGATTGATCTGCCATTTAAACCTATAGAAAAGGATCGATAAATAGCTGACTGGATTTTGGAGAAAATTTCGGTGACTTTTCTGCTTCGAACAAAGCAAATTCCTTAAAATTTTCAAAAAAAAATCGGCACACACGTTTTCTTGTAAAAAATTGAACTTCCCGGTTTTTGGCAATAGCTGACGTGGCTCGGTTCCTTTACTGCTATGCGCGATCCATTCGTCCTCATTTATCTTGAAGGTCCTCACACAGAGGACCATTTGTTCATTAGAGTCGAATGCTCTTACTTGGCATTATCGCCAGAATTTTACCTTCAAAGGTTGCCACCGAATCTAGAAAATGAAATTCCCTCACATATTTCGGTGGAATCCTCCGACAGTTGAAAGTATGCCGGTTGGATAAAAATACAGATTAGAAGTAATTTTTGGACAAAATTTGTTGTTCGAAACGTTGAACTCATCCTGGAAAGCAAATAAAGACTACTTAATAATTTTCCCTGACATGCTCGCCATGTATAGCATGTATTTTCCCTTCCAAGGTTGCCGCCGAATCTAGAGAATGAAATTCCCTGACATATTTCGGTGGAATTCTCCGACAATTGAAGATATGTCAGTTGGTTGAAAATTCATGATTAGAAAGAATTTTTAGACAAAATTTCGAAATTTTCGAATTCGAAACGTTCACCTCATCCTGGAAAGGAAACGAAGACTACTTAATAATTTTTCCTGACATTTGCGCCATTATCCTTGACATGTTCGCCATTTCATTCTCCGACTGATGAAAATATGCAGGTTGGTTAAAAATACACGATTAGAAGGAATGTTCAGACAAAATTTGTTGTTCGAAACGTTCAACTCATCCTGGAAAGCAGATAAAGACTACTTGATAATTTCCCCTGACATTTGCGCCATTATCCTTGACATGTTCGCCATTTCCCCTGATATTTCCAGGTCTCCCCTGACTGTGGCAACCATGCCCTTCGCCCTTGATACGTAACAAACGTGATCCTTGCGACCGAGCGGTTACTTTTTTGTCCTCCGCGCAGGGCCACTTTGAGAACCCCGCAGTCGGCGAAGCGCACCCGTGCGTGTACCTCAAGTACCGATTTGTTTCGTGGTAAATTAATCCTTCTCGTCACCGTTGAGATGTCACCCTTGGCCCCGCCTCGTCTCAGGTGATCCAGTTACCGGAGGCGACTTCATCATTTTTCATTTACCCCCCCCCTTCCTCCGAAATCCCTTCCCCTTCCGGTCACCGCGAGGACACCACCCCGAAAAAACCCCTATCCGCTCACGAATCCTATTCGAGATACGCGGTATCTGCCCAGTAGGGCGTATGAATGCGAACAATACGAATACCCGGGCGTTCCATCATTAATTATTGGCTTTGACTCGCGATTTTTCGCGGTCGACGCGCATGTAGATATACAACCCGCACTTGCTCTTTATTCAAAACGTCCTGGAGTTGATAAGAATACCTGCGTATCTGGACGCTTCAAAAAGTGAACTTGCGTGGTTTTCAACACCGAGCGATGTGTGTAGCCCGACTATGCTGCGGTAGGGAGCCACCAAAGTTGAACTCGCGAGAGTATGTGTTGTATGTTCCACTGTAAGGAGGAACGCCGTACGAACGTTCGAGAGTTGCCAAATTTTCTACGATAAAATGTTTATTTCTGAGGAGAGTTATGAATATTTCCTCTTGAGATTTTCACCTGACACAGGTCTAATTACGAAGAAGTTTCTCTGAAAAATTGAATGGAAAATATTCACAAGTTAACCTGAAAATTCGGTGTTGACTTGGCAACTATCGAAGGTTCATACGGCGTTTTTCCTCAGCACGGCAGTGGAGGTCTACGATCGTGGATTGAAGCCACTTGAGAAGTGGTTGTGGATTTGGTCGGTTTGCGGGCGGTGCAACCATTAGAGAATGCTGCTTTTTCAATTGTTACCTGTAGTCAATGCATGTAAGAGCCCAGCTTGAAAAGAGGATGAGGAGAGTGTCTGCGCTCGATGAAATTTCGTATGATGAAAAGACAAATCGCTCCGGACAGAATGGAGGAAATTAGTGGTGTCTGGACTAAAAGATCATTAATTCATTTACTGTGGAGCGTACAAAGAATACGTAACTGACGTTTTCTTGCTTTGCTATTTTCAGTCGTTCATACTGATTAAAAAAATTTCAAATCCGTGAATACAAGTTCATGAATTGGGCCCGTGGATTCAAAGCAGAAAGTATTGGGTCAACATGCGTGGTAGATAGTACATTTGATTGTACCGTGTGCTTCATTTAAGGCGTGATTAAGTCAATTATATCGAATTGTTGAATATTTACCTGCTGAGCAGCCCACGCGTGGAAGATTACATTCTCATTATCATTCTTCTAAGATTATTATTCTGCAAGGATAATGCATATTATCACCCAGAATAATATATGGATTGAGAAAATTCTGTATACCTATAGCTGTGGCATTTTTGACTTCGCTCGCTTCTGTGCAGCTCGAAGGAAACATAAAATAATTATTGTTATTGTATATTTTCACATCAGGTGCGCGTTATCCGTTGCTTGTTCATGTGATGCATAAGGGCATTATCATGCACCATTTGACACAGCATCACCCACTACTCGGGTGATTCCCATTTTGGCAAATTTTACCCATTTCGGAAAAAAAGAAAGTAGATGTTTCGGCAAAATTATTTCAGCACATTGAGGGGGAAAACGGACCGATTCGGCAAAAGAAAGTAAGCTCACAGAAAGTTTCAGAAAAAATGCCCAATTTGGCGCAGAGCCGTATAAAATATAAGTATTAGAAACGACTCACCATTAAATAGCGACAAAGCAGTTTCCCATATTTCGGAGGTATGTATTTCTCGTAATAACGTGACTGCGATAGCGTTGGAATTGATTTGAAACAAAATTTTCTTTTTCGATTAAGTCCTTCCTTCTACGCGGTGGATGTCCATTCGTAGCAGCTGAAATCTTTAATCTGCGGAGGGGTAGTTGCTCTTCCAAAGATTTGATAACATGGAAAATGGAGGGATGAGGTGTATAAAATTCAGTTCGTTGCTGGCTATGGAAACTTCCAGCAGCATTACTGGTGCTAACCCTATTCGAAGTAGGAGCATCAGCCCAAATGCAGGGATGGAATATATTAGTGTTAACATTATTTTCAGAGATGAAGTTCGCAAATTCCAAAAAATCAGGCTGTAAAGGTGCGGTAAGAAGTAAATCGACAAACGCAAGTGGAACTTCGTGTGGGGGCAAATAAGGCAGACCGAAGAAAGATTTTATCCATTTTCCATTCTCACTTTGCGCGTCTTCGTAAGCTTCAACCAGGACTTTACTTTTTTTTACGTTCCGCCACCAACATTGCCCCAGATGAAAACGGCAGCATCTTATTTGAACAGATTTGAAGGCGTTCTAAGCGTTCGGTTGGGTCACGCAACTAAACTAACCCCCCGGAGAAGCGAGAAGTATCGCCAGATTTGAAGGCGTTCAAAGCGTTCGGTTGGGTCACGCAACTAAACTAACCTCCTGGAGAAGCGGGAGGTATTGCCTGATCTGAAGGCGTTCAAAGCGTTCGGTTGGGTCACGCAGCTAAACTAACCTCCTGGAGAAGCGAGAAGTATCGCCAGATTTGAAGGCGTTCTAAGCTGGTTTGGAATCACAGTCGTTAAAATGTAAACAAAAACCACAAAATATCACTGTAGTTATGAATCGTATGAGCGATTCTTCTTTCGTGTACCGACGATAAAATCGAACTGAATGGTAACTTGTTTACTACATCCAAAGTGATGTTTACACCTACAAATGATAAAAGACAGCCGCGGTCACCTTAGGACAAAGTTCAACCCAACATTTGAGATCTAATCGCACCGATGTCAGCTTTCGTGCCGAATTGGGCATTTTTTCTGAAACTTTCTGAGAGCTTACTGATATTGGTCTTCTGCCGAATCGGTCCGTTTTCCCCCTCGATGTGCTGAAATAATTTTGCAGAAACGTCTACTTTCTTTTTTGCCGAAATGGGTTGCGCCCGACTACTCATTGCTCAATAGCACCGGTCTGATACGCTGGACATCCACCAGCCCCAGGCTGGACCAGCGCACATTTGAGCCCGATGCAACTGATCAACGAGATTTCTTGCTTGACACAGCGCAGCGTCGCGACCATCCCCTGTGTGTCCGCGCCGAGGTTCACTGGAAAAGAAAACCCATTGGATCTAGAGTCCAGACTCTTAAAAACATCGACAAGAAAAAGTACTCTTGACTCAATCAGAATCTAGCTGAAATCAAGAACCAAGCCTCTTAATTTAAGCGGATTTCGTTTTGATTCAAGCAAAAATCCGATTGAATCAAGAGTATTTTTTCTCGTCAACGTTTCAAGAGTCTGGACTCTCGATCCAATGTGTTTTTTTCCGCAGTGTTGTTCCGAGTTCCGCGTTGCACCAGCATTCAGCGTTCTC